AAAAAAAAAAAAGGATTACGAAATCTTTTTTAGAGATTGTTTACCTAACGTTATCATTTTAGATGCTACCAAATTTGATCAGCTTTTAGTAAAAATAAAATGGCCAACCATATTTGGACATGTGACCTCAATGACCCCACTTGACCCCATACATTTTTTTTAAACAATTTTTCTAGAAGTCTATTTACGGTTCTATTTAAAGTTATGTTTAAGCAACGCTTTAAGCAAGACCCTGCATATGAAAACTTACATTTTTATTCTCTTATCAAGTACGATAACGAGTATTTCTCTAAAGCACACACATTTTTTTCCCCACATCTGAAAAGAAAAATTTTTTTTCATTGTGAAACTGATCTTCGAAAAAGCTAACCACTTCAAGAGAGGAAACCTCATAGGAGAATACATGCAATGTTAATGGAGGATCTTTTCGTCTGCCGTGATACATAATGCAACCTGATAAAAAAAAAAAAAAATGATTGTAATTATTTATTGTTGTAAATATTTATCTCGTTACACCACGGTTATAAAGTACAATGTAATATGGCGTTTTTTTTTATTCCGTGCATATTTTATGTAGAAAAACAACTTAATTGTTTATGATGTGGTGATGTGGGGGATACGCAAAAAAAAAACGCCCTTGATAAACAGTTGAAAAAATTTTTTTAAAAAGAAATATATTTTTAAATTTATTGTAAGTTATTTTATGTAACAGAAATGTAATAATAATAGATTAATAGATTGTAAAAATTAAGGTTCATTGAAGATCTTTTTAAAATGTCTTTTGACCGAGGAAAAAAAAAAAAATATATTTTTTTATCTTTTATTTAAATGGATACCCAATATCAGATTATATGTGGGGAAACCATCTGATGCCTTTGCAGCTGAAAGATGGAATTATATCCAAAAATAAGAAAACTTTTTCCTGGAGATTAAAAGCAAAGGGGAACAGATGGGCAGCATATGTTTGAAGTTGGATATGGGACCTATGACCATTAAAAGAAAGATTGGTAATAAAATAAAGAAAGATTTTCTTAATTGTTTTCGATTTTTTTTCTCCTCATTCAATTCAATTTCCCAAATAATTGAATGAGGAGAAAAAAAAAAAAATAATAATAATAATAATTACGCCCTCCGCATATTCTTTTTTGTGTGGGGTTTAATTAAAGAAAGGTAATAGACGCGGTGTAATTATAAACAAAGTCCCAGGCGTAAGTTCCTTTTTTTTTTCTCTCAAAATTATTACAATAATGTCAATTTGGCGTGTGAATTCATGTAAAGAAAATTTAAAAAAAAAATTTTTTTTTTTTTTTTTTTCTTGGGATGATTACATAATAAAATTACATTATTGACTTGCATTCTCTGATATATAGATTGACTAAGAT